GACTGGGCCTCGTGCCACTTTATGTTCAACAAATTGGGCCCCGAGGTCCAAAAAGATTAAGAACCCCTGCCGTAGAGGGCTTCCTGCTTCCCTCTTGAGGCTGTGCTTGCCCCAAAACACGCCAACCAAACCAATTACAGGCWGCCTCCAAAGTGACATTCACAAGAAATTTTCTATCTGGTCTTTCAAATGAAGTTTTCCTCTTGTTACTCATGCCTTGCATTTTCATTAGTCTCTCAGTGGATGTGCAGCCACTGTGGCAGATGAGGCAGTTTAATTTGTGTGCGTTGGGATCAAAGCRGAGCACAAGTGCAACAAAAAACATTATGCAGACACTATACAGTGTGTAATTTTTATATTATATACACATTATTCCATCCATACAGCAAGACCCATAATAGAAAACTGCTGTTTAGGGTTCTCTCAAGGAATATGCACTGTTTAATAAAACGCCAAACACCATACAAATGAACATTTGAAAAAGGTGCTGCTGTTTACAAGTTAATTAAATAAAAGTGTAAGTCTTTAATTAATGATTAATATGAGTTGCAGTATGTTGGCACTACTTTTACCTTTGAAATTTAATGGAGTCAAGCTGAAGGGGAACAAAAGGAGTCAAAGAACAAACACTGGTGCCCCAGATTATAGGATGATACTAAAATGTTAATTAGATTCCCTTTATGAATTATCTTCTGTATAGCAACGAGTTAAAGTGTAATTAGGGGTAAATAGCAAAAAGGAGACACTATGATGATAACCTTCGGCTCGAACATGTTGCATCATAAATTAAYGAAGCCCAATCTGAGCTCTGACCTGTGTTGTTGTTTTCAGTGAAACTCTCTCGCAGAATAAGGACGAGTCAATTAGGAGAGAAGACAAACTGCAATTCGTTTAATGATTTAGGACACGTGTGAGAACAATGGAAGATATACAGTATACACCGTTGATATACAAGCAAATCAATTACAGAGATGAAGTCATTAGGTATMTAAAGCCAAATTGGCTCAACGTAAAGTAATAATTCAGCATTTTTAAGGTGAGGTTTTGTGGACAAGTTGTGAGCAGCTAACATCTYACCTGCTGCAGATTGAACTGGAGATAGAAAATGTTTGCACAATTGCACACTGTTTGAGTCCAGGTGTGTTTTGTCTCCATGTATGACAGCTGTGACAACATCCGACGTGTCAAATGGTTGGGCGACCTTAAAAAAAAGAAATAGCGCCAGCAGCATTAACCTTTCCATCAGGGTAACTCTTTTGTTTCCCAACCAGGCTTTGATGCTGCCTCTTGTCCTCGGAAGTCACCGACAGCTTTATCAGCATACAGTATCTGTACCATAGAATTTAACGAGAATACTGTTTTCTTTTCSACAGAAACACCTGCATCGTATCAAGTGTTGTCTGTCAAGTTTTATCTTAACCATATCTGGCATGGGAAATTCCTGTGAAAAGCTTTGATATGCACTGACTCTCTGACGTTTCACCCAGTGTGAGGAGAGCCTTGGCAGATGTGGAAAGGGCCGACTGCTCAGCGTACTCTGACTCCTCCGTCCGTGCGTTCTTTTCGTCAGGCATTTTTCCAACAAAAAAAAAAAAAAACATTGACAAAAAAAATTACATGTCCATAGAATGCCTTTGAACTGTGTTCTTTAATGTGGGTCAGAGATCTATTGCACACATCCTCTGAAAACCGTTTCATCTGCATTTGTGGAGTTGAGATCCCCCTGGTACGCTTTTAATTTCATCCACTCTTACAGTTATTTATTTAATATTTCAACATTAGTGTCTTTTCAAACATGGTAGAAGTGAAGAGTTCARGGAGTAAAAGGGGAAACTTTTTTTTTCTTTTTCTATCTGCATGATGGTCTGTCCTCCCTAATGACTCCATTTTAAAGACGGTGGGCTGACCGGCAGTGCGCTGGGAGGGCGCGCAGGATCGTGAGCAGGGAGGGCGCGGAGGAGAAGAGAGGCTGTGTACACTGCAGCGCTCTCCTCCGCTCTCAGCTCCCAGTCAGCCGCTGTGTGTGTGTGTGCGTGTGTGTGTGCGCTTTGAAAGAGAATAGAAATCAGCCCTTTGAAAGCAGAGGCTGCTCACCGGGGCCTTTGTGTAAAATAACGTTTCTACTGAAAGCCAATTACTGCTAACATTATTTTGGTTGCTTCCATTATTAAAAGTACCTCTCTCTGTTGCCCCCATCATCCCTCCAACACCTCCCCCCTCCCCCACCCACCCCCTTCATCACTCTTTTTTACAGACGGAGAATTATTCCATTGATTCCAGTTATGTGAACAGCAGAGCCCACCTCATTAAAAGGTATGTCTTGATTAGGAATTGTTACCAGCGCCTCATTACCATTGTTATCTCTAATTGTTTTATCTAATGAGAGCACAGCCACAGTCGGTGCAGTTTGCATGTGTTACCTGCATGTTTCGTATTCTGTGTAATTGAAGTGGGAGGATAAGATTTKGGGATAAACAGAATTACTTTATACTGCATTTAGTAGAGGCTTGTGGAAATAAGCAACACGTGTTGCTGTTTCTTCAGCAAGAAAAGATCTTCATATTTAAAAATAAAGCTTTTCTAGCATGTGGCTTGCTTTGCATTGACTTATGGCTGGAATTACAATCCCATCTTAAAAAGGTATTTAAAGGGATCCCCGAATAGTTGTAACATTAGACTTTATTTGATAAACATATATTTTAACTGTAAAATAAAGACTGTAAAAATACTGTAGGATGTTTAGTTTTTATAATTTTTAAACTAAAAGTTTTAACATAGACAGGGCCATTTTATTTACACGCAAAGCATTCTGGGTAAATGATGACGTGGATAGGTCATCTGTGCGAGGCTGCTAGCGAGCTATATCCACCCTGAAGGTTAATCTTGGACAATATCTGATGATTGACTCTTTTAAATGAAACCAGAGAGCGTTGACAGAGAGGAGAAGGTAGAAATGACTCAGCCTGGAACTGAAAATATAGATGGAGGACAACAGAGCTGCTTCATGGAAGAAGAACCTCAGCTTAGCCTGTTAGCTTTAGCATTAGCCCTGACGCTATCACCATATATATGTATTAGCTCAACGCTACACATTCTCCTCTCGTCACTGAGGTCCTCCATCCACATGACAGAGAGGAGAATGCAAAAATGACTCAGCTGTAACTGAAAATATGGATGGAGGACCTCAGTTCAGCTTGTTAGTTTGTCGCGCTAGCGCTGAGCTAATACATATRAGGCAATATAGTGTAGGCGCTAGTGCAAAGGCTAACAGGCTAAGCTGAGGTTCTTCTTCCATGAAGCAGCTCTGTTGTCCTCCATCCATATTTTCAGTTCCAGGCTGAGTCATTTCTACCTTCTCCTCTCTGTCAACGCTCTCTGGTTTCATTTAAAAGAGTCGATCATCAGATATTGTCCGAGATTAACCTTCAGGGTGGATATAGCTCGCTCACACCGAGGACCTATCCACGTCATCGTTTACCTAGAATGCTTTAATAAAATGGCTCCGTCTGTGTTAAAATATATTTTTAAAATTTTACAAAACTAAACAGCCTACAGTATTTTTATAGTCTTTATTTTTCAGTTAAAATAAATGATTATCAAATAAAGTCTAATGTTACAACTAATCAGGGATCCCTTTAAAGGATTTYTCTAGAATTATTCAAGACAAACGTTTTATTATTAGTCAACAAGAGAGAAGAATAAATGTTTTCATTGTGCATAGTTATTCAGCTCACCCCCAATGCAGGATACCTGATAGGGTTGCAGGAATTCAGTGACATAGTTCTGATGGGGGTCATGTCAAATTTCCCTGCAGCGATGAGAGGTTTTGTTTGTAACCACTGTTTAGTGTTTTACCTGCAGCTGTAAAAGACTCAGTGCTTTCTTTTGTTCGAGGTTAAACCCGCCTTTTGAAATCCCATTACGCATATTCCCCATCCCCGCTTCCAAAAATTCCTTGCATTAATGTAAACAAAGAGCGTTCAAGTGTGGTTCTCTGCAGGATACTACAAAGAAATTCCCCCAGGAGCCAGTGAGCCTATGGTCTGGGACAGGTGCAATTACAGTGATAACATCAGAAAGTCGGCATTACCTCCGCCGGTGTCCTCTCTCTCCCTGGCTGGAAAATTTGTGGCTTTGGCTGAGGATTGCAGCTACCTTGTACTGTCCTTCACTGGCTCTTATTTTTCCTGCACTTTGTTTGCACACTTTTTCCTCCTCTGTGTTTCTTGTAACCTCTGATTATAAACTCGTTTTTTGTGCCCACAAGCTCACTCCTATTTAGTGTTGTTTGTAAAGTAGAATTTGTTCCAGTGAGCTGGAAATCAAATGAAGGGGAATCACGCTGTTACTTTGCAGCTGTTGATTGTGCCCCCACACACCACCATTTTTTATTGACTGTGAGCCCCAAACAAGACAGATGCTCAGTTTGTATGCTTCCAGCCCTTCCTTCATCCGTCTTCCTTCCAGGAATTCCTGATTACTGCAGTATTTGTTTGATTGTGCTGAGTGAGTGCCTCCTGTTTGTTCGTTCCCATGTCCTTGAAGGCGGCGCGTCCATCCAAAATGTCCCTGTCTGAAACAACCCGCAGCTCCTCTGTGAGGTACTTTATCCTGGAAGATTTACTATTCTTTTTTATCCCATGGTTAGTGCAATCAGAAATTCAAGGGAGTCTTGCTTTCTTTTCAAATGTGCAGTCGTTGACAAAGACTCACTGCGAAATAAATTAATATTCTTCCGTTTTAAATCCAATGAAACATTAAAGGGCAAACAGTCACTGGAAAACACAAATATGGACAGGGACGGAGAGACAGACAGCTCGTCCCAAACCACAAGAGACACGAGGACGAAGGACATGGTGCTGGGAAAGGTGACGTGACAGTTAATCAACATTTCCCTTTTCTCCCTGCTGGCCCCCATGTAGCACATCAACATTCAAAGACCTGGAGGGCAACAGTCTGAAGGACAGTGGCCACGAGGAGAGCGACCAGACCGACAGCGAACACGACGTCCAGAGAGGACACTATGTTGACACGGCTGTCAATGACATGCTGAACATGACTGTCCCCCCTAATGTTTGCCAGCTGCCAGACCAAGGTAAGGAAACCTGTTTGCGTGTGAGTTGTGCGTGTGTGTGTTGTGATGTTTGCACCATCTTTTGGTGTATGCTTTGCTCATTTCAAGATAAGATCAGTGTGTGTGCTTTGGTCTGTTTCTTTTCTCCCAAAGCATCTTTTAAGATCCATTATGCTCATTGCAAGCCTCAGATGTGCATGAATAACATCACAGTTTTTTTTTTTTGTCTTTGATGTCCTTCACTCTCAGCTAATGTGCGAATCTCTGACAGCTAAGGATACCCTTTGATACAAGCTCAGGCAACTTTATTGACTGATAGTAGCCATGTCGGCTCTTGAAGCTGGGCTGACTTTAGGTGTGTGTGAATGGCAGCAATTAGGCTTACAAAGGTAGAGGGTGGAAATCTACATATCTCCACGTGTCCTCATCCATTATTCAGTGGGATCATTTAGGGGGGAATTAAAGTTGATGTTTCATTTCTGACTCGTCGTTTAAAAAGACATCCACTTGCTTGGCAGGAGTCAGTAAAAAAGGTCATGTTCATTCTTAACTACTGCCAGTCAGACCAAAGGAAAGTGAGGGTCAGTTAGAGACAAAGAGGAGGAGAAAAGCAGGATAAAGATGTCTGTAGTGGACCAGGATGTTACATTGTGCACCTGAGGGTATTTACTGGGCTCAAAGGAAACTGCACATTCACAGGTGCAGGAGCTCAGTGAAAAACCAGAGTCAGCGCGTGTGAAAACTGTGGACATTTTGGGACGGTTCCCATTCACAATTAAGAGAAATCAACAGCAAATTATACTACAATATACTCTGGAGATTATACTTGCTGTATCTGCTCCAAATTCCGCAGCTTTCTTCAAATGTAGGCCAGATTCATATTACAAAAAAAATCCTTGTCCTTCTATTTTATTTCTCAACTCACACAGTGGAAATATTCATAAGTAGGRAAATAACAAAAAATAACTCCTACTCTTTAAAATAAACTAGCATTCCGAAAGGAATGTGTATCACCCGCCGAAGCCAAAGTTTTAAASAAGTATCGGAATATGTGTTGAGGATAAACTCATACTGCTACATCAAACTGTAGTTTGATATTGTTCAATTAAACTGAGTTCTAGCCATTTTTCTGTTTGCTAAGGTCAATTAGCTGTAGCGGCCATCTTGAATTGGGTTGCCTCCAAAAAGTTAATGAGGTGTTGATTTGCATCTGGTCATTGCTTACTGAGAGTTTCATTAAAATCTGCTCAGTGGTTCATGAGATATTTTGCTAACGGACAGACCGACTGTGCAYAATGCATAAAATTAATGTTGTTTATATAATTTATTTGGTTATGTATTTTTATCAGTAGGCTGTGAAGTGYGTGGGGGTTTGGTAGTAGGCAGTAATATGGAGGCTCATCCCGGTCCAGTCCCTGGCATATTTAACCAACCAGATGCTTCACTTGGAGCAGTTTTGCTATTTATGTTGTTTGTCTGGGGAAAAATAACATTAGACAACCTGCATTTTATGTTCACGGAGAATGGAGCTATACAAATGCATCTGTCTTTCTGGCCGGCAGCTTCTCACTTTTTAACAACTTAGCTGAGGAACGCAGATTGAGGTGTTCTGGGTCAGGAAGAATGGTGACCATTAGAATCAAGTCGTCCCGGGTGTTTTCCCAGCGGCGTCCTACTATAATGAATGATGAAAAGTGAATCGGCTGTCTATTGGTTGCCAGCTGTAATTACTTCACAACCAGCAAAAGAAAACTCTTATGCATCCAAAGAATGCATGTTGACAGGTCTTCTGGTAGTGGGATCTCATTATTGGAGACAATTAGAAATGATGTACATGAAGAATATTACAAGGGGAGAGCTCTCTGAGGCAGTGGGTTTTTCATTAACACCACCAATGATTGTATCTGTTTCAGCAAAATGGAAGCATGGCTCCTGAATGTGTAATGCAGCACAAACACTGCTGGTAAACAGAACAAGGGGCTATTTCACAGTGCCATCCATTCTTTTGACCAGAACAAAATAGATAATAGCAAAGTATCTGTTTGGAATTACAATGTGTTTGCTTCTTATTGGCTTTTATCCCCCCTTCTCTTTCACTGCRGCTTGCTGCAGTCTCACTTTCTGCCCAGCAATTTACTTCAGTAAAAAGACTTTAAGGAGTTTAAAAAAAAGACCTCTTAGGAATCTTTTTGCCTTTGTTTTGGGAGTTGGTGTGCCGCAGTGGTCACACCGGAGGGTCTGTTAATAGTCAATAAATGATTTAACCAAAAATCAAATGCAGAAATATATTGACATGGTTTAATGAAACTGTTCCTGCCATCTCACTGGTTTAATTGCACTGTTAAAAGGCAGGGTAAGGTGACAGAGATGGGCAGATGCGGATGCAGAGTAGAGTCCATCTCCCCTGTTTTTATGGAGAGCAACATTTCTCTGGAGTGCCTCAGGAGTGTGCTTACTTTGCCATAATTCAGCTGCTTTCTTGTTTTGTAGAAAGACAAAAAAAGAAAAAAGAAAATCTGAGATTTGTACAACATGGGCTGTCTCTCAAATCAGGGGCTGCTAAGTGCTCACTTGCTGTATACTTCCGTCACTGTCCCATACCGTAGGCTGTCCCAATTCATGGGCTCCTTCTCATTTGGCCCAGAACATGAAGGCTGCATCTTAGCATCTTTCTCAGCCAAGGACATCCCAGAATTCATTACACCGTCAGCAAACTAAACAGAAAAAAAAAACACGACAATTATGTTTTTTATTTTTTTATTTTATTTATTTTCCAATATCATGTTTGGAAACTCATCCCAGACTGAATTTTTTAAATGTAGCTTTAGCAACTTAGCTTGAAGGATATTTTGTGACTGATTACCTGAATTTCAGAAACATCCTCACATCTTATATTTCGCGATTGATTGCGGTCGTTTATTTAAACTGTGATAGTTTAATATGTGCCTCGCTCCAGCAGGATAAACATGTAATTGTTTACGTTCTGGCATTTCAATGCTGACGTAAAAGTAACCACCCCCAGGGGCGGGTGAGCAGGGTTACGCTATGTATGAGCTCATGTGATTCTGGGCCATTTTGTTTTAGATTCTGAGGCCACACACAGGCTACAAAGTAAGATGAAGTCTCTAGATCTAAAAATAAACATCCAACTGAGAATGTTTTTTGTGTATTATTTCAACATTCAATTTAAACATTTTCTTACAAGGTGCTGAAATTTTTTGCTGCAATGAGATGTTAAATAAAATGCAACTACAACTGGAGCTAAATCCAAAATATTAACACTTTTTTAAGTTCGTAATTGTGAAGTTATTCCTCCAGTGAAAAGATGTGGGATTATATGTCCCAACACATTTTAAGTCTGAAGGCAGATTACCTGACCTGCGTAGACTGTGGCCTACGTGGGCCGCGGTCTAGGGCTGCAGCCCCTGAAGTGAGACACTGCCCTCATTTCAAATTGTGTTCTTGTCAGATTAACTGAGAAAAATGAACACTATCCTATTGAATGAATGGCTCTGATTAAACACACACACACACACACACACACACACACACACACACACACACACACACACACACNCACACACACACACACACACACACACACACACACACACACACACACACACACACACACAAATAGGCATGTTCACTAAACACCCTGCTGTTTAGATGTCTTCTGGGAGTAAATCTGCTGTATAGTGTGCCTCTTCTGCCAGCTAAGGCAGAAAACAAGTTGAGAGGCTGCAATTGCCAAAGGACTACAGCAACACACCAGCTGAGGAAAGCGGTGCCTCGTTTTTGTATGTGTGTGTGTGTGAGTTTTATTGTTCAGTTTTCTTGTGTTGATAAGCGCCGAGAACAAAAGGAAGCTGGAAGAAGGGTTAAACTCTCGGGCTTTCACCGTGCAAATGTTTACCGTTCCCAGTGCCGTGTAAAAGATGTTGTTTGCCCAGGAGACAAGCTGTTACCTTTTGACAACACCCCCCCGTCTCTTCGTCATAACATCACCTTTCATGTGGGAATCCATTTGTGTGACGAGATTCGGCCGCTAACTAGCCCGGCTCCGCATCACAGTGGCCCTTTCTTCCTCTCCTCTGAAGTAATTTATAGGTTTGATATTTGGCGTCTGTCCATAGGTTGTGCTTTTCTTCTCCATGCTGCGGTTTCAGCAACGCTATTCATTAGTCCTCCACYGGCTACTACCAACGTAACTCTCAGTCAAGTGCTTGTGAAGAGATTTTCGACTCTTATATCTGAGTGAATAACTCTTTGTTGAATCCCTGCCAAGAATGTAAAGAGGCGTGTGTGCTTTTTTTTTTTTTTTTTTGAAAACCTGACCTGAAATATCCTCACCCAGTGGATTAGATTAGCCAAGTATCTGAAGAACAAATTACATTAAATCTCTTAAAATCTATCAAGGAGGGAATATCTTTAACATGTAATTGCTCCCCCACATCAGCCAATAGAATAAAAAAGGGATGATATCGCTATGACTATAAACTGAAGAAAAAAAGAGCTATATAAAATGAATTCCTCTTTATCTTTACAGGCATGTCTGTGAAGTTAGGGGGGATTGGCTTGAAATATGCGACATGCTAGCTTTGGCTCTGTGGAACTATTAGTGTCAAGGGAAAAGGAAAGGAACAGACTCTGAGGGGGCTGGTGACAAAGGGAGCTTAATCTATTTTTTTTCCTGACTTTCTTTGATTGTTGTAGCTCACATTGTAATTCCTCCCGGATATGGATGAGCTATGGTTTTCAAGGATTAAGATTGTTAAATCGCTCGAGTTATCTCCACAGGARAGGAAGGAGGGAAGGGCACGGTGTCATTTTACGGCATCCGATTTCTGGCTTTAGAGGTTTGCGGCCTTGTGCTGTGCAATTGTTTCCAGGTCACTGTATAAGTGCTCATCAAATGAAATCAGTCCATCTTGGGTTATTAGACTCAAAGGGATACAAGACTGCTCAATTAGTTAGAGGAGGGAACAGGCCTCTTTTATTTCTGACACATTCCTTGGCCT